CTGGAACTGAGTGTTTACTCTTCACCCTCCACACCAAAAAACAAGCAATGACACAATTTTGACATGTTTTTGAACACTGGCCTCACCAAACTAACCCGCTGCAAGATCTCTGCACGCGTGGTGCGTACTGATTCTGCTTCATCAGGCTTGGCGAGAGCAGCATTGAGCGGTGCTGCATTTGAGCTGGGATCGAATCCTGATGATCCATCAGAGCGAACTGCTGGATCATGAGCAGGTCGTGATCCATGAGAAAGTGGGGCCACTGGAGCACTGGGTTTATCCTCACTCTCGTCATCACTAACCTCGACAGGGTCACTCTCCGTCAAAGCTGCTTCTTCAACTTCCCCACCAATTGGCGGCTGACCATCTGCGCCAGCACCTTCCCCATCAATTGGTGGCTGACCATCTGCGCCACCACCTTCCCCATCAATTGGTGGCTGAACCCACGCTTCATCCATCATGTTCCATAGTTGTGTGAGCCCGGAATCCTGTTGTGAAACGGGTACACCAAATCAACCAACTTAGGAGCATTGGTGCCTATCAACATCAACAACTGATCAAACACGAATGTTTTTTGTTTTAACATGATTTAAACTAGTTGATCCAAGCCCACCCACGTCTCCTTTGGTTTGGCGGTGCCAGCGAGCCAGCGACGGGTCAGGTGGCTGAACAATTTGTTGATACCCCAAGCATCGAGGTGCACTTGTGCCACGTCATCAGGTAATGCACACACTTGCCTCCAGCAGGTCACCTGTCAGGGAATCAGGCCCTACCTGGTTGCCTGGTTTGATGTTTACAAGTCAGTCGTCGTCAGTTACGTTTAGCAAAGCAGGAGACCCCACAAATCCTAGATCCCTGAAACGCCTCTTTGCGCAGGCAAGCAATGTTGATCGCTGAAGGCCCGGAAGTCTTTGGCAACCACCACTCAGTGACAATTTCCAGCAACCTCACATTGAGTTTGAGGTGAGCGCAGCTTGGAACACCAATCACCTTTGGATTCTCCCACTGTGTGAGTGAGTCCTTGGTTCTGCCGATATGGCGAATCACTGGGTCCATGTCGAGCATCTTGGCCAGGTGCCCAGCTTCAAACGCCATCCCCAAAGTTCGCAAGTATTCAACAGTGAGTGATCGATCTGTCCCTACAAAATGCTTGAGCAAGCCAAATCCATCGAATCATCCAATCACCCAATCTTCGATCTACAAAATGTTTGAACAAATCAAGTCAATCCGATCACTCAGTGATCACTCTTTCCATACAAAATGTTTGAACAAATCAAATCGATCCAATCACCTATTCTAAAACGTCCAATCGATCCAATCACCTATTCTAAAACTTCCACCATAGTCCCTCTGCATCTCCAGTGGAAACCATGCCAGAGGCACCTCCAAGGACAAATTGTGGTGATCGAAGATCTCGCTCATCCATTGAATCATCTTGAGAAAAACTGTTTACACAGTGATGTGAACTCTGAAAACGTGAGCAGTTGTTCCAATAGCTTTAGATGTGTTCTTTTCAACTCCCTTTCTGGCAAATGGAAAGCACTTGATGCTTGCTTCATTGGGAATGATGCTTGCGCCGTCCAGCTGAAATGCCAACATTTCTCAAAATTCCACCAACATCAAAAACCGCTCGACTACAAAAAAAAGTGCTCGAAGCAAGAATTCTTGCCGCAGCAGAAATTGTGCATACCTTGGAGTTCATAGGTATATGTATAGTAGTTAGTAGTGTTCTTACATGTTTCGCCTGTAGCCGATGTTGTTTTGCAACTTTTAAGGTCCTGGACATGCAACGATTCACTTCGCCTCCGCCCTTCCACAGCCCATCCGCTCTCCTCCGGCTCCGGCTCGTGCACCACCGGCAGCCGCGCCAATCGCGCACGCTGGCGCATGGAGCCCCAGGCTTCGCGCGACTCCTACAGCAATGTGAGAGGCACTCATGGTGGGTGGATGTGGATGTCGGTGTTGTGCTCATTTCGCTCTGCTTTTAGACCCGACATGTTGGAAGAACATTGTCTAGTTGTGGCAGTTGATTGAGCAATTGCCCCATTCAGACCTGCAAAAAGAATAGATTGAACCATGATGAACCTTGCATTTCACCTGCAAGATCGCACAATTTCATATCATTGCATCTCAAGTCAGATTGAAGAAATGGGCCCACAGTCCGCTCATCATGCTTACGCCAACCACTACCCTGCGTCACATTCGCCTGCAGCCGATGCTGCAAGGAGGGCTCCAGTGCCTTGACGTACTTCCGGTCCAGGCCGGCCCGGCGACCCCTGTGCAGGAACGGAGCTGGAGCTGTGGGCTGGTGCCTCTGTCAGGTGGCAGTGGTAGTTTGGAGGTTCTGGTGACTTGGTGCTGGGGCTGCTGGTGAGGAACTGATGAACACCTTTGGAGTTGCAAGCCTTGCTCATCACGTGGTAAAGTGCTGCAAAGTCTCAAAGATCTGATCTTCGAGAACAGAACGAAACCGAGGCCCCAGGCGTGTTGCTCTCTTTGCTCTGGTGGGCTGGTTTCGGTGGCGGCCTAGGCACTCAGCTGTTTCGCTGAAACACCTCAGTCCGTTGTTCCGTTTGTGCTCCCATGTCTTCCCTACTCTTCCAACATGACGGAAGAACATCACATAGCGGCAAGAGTCCTTTCCAATTGGAAGCTTGGAAACCCGACTTTCCCCACTCGGCTGTAGGTTCTGGGTTCTCCTCATGAAAGAAGCTGGACCTTGATGAGATCAACCACAACATGCGGACTAGCCTGCCTGCACGATCAAACACCACTTGGTCACAGCTTTGGGCCAAAGGTAGTTGATACAAATGCCAAACAAATGTCAGCCCACAACAACAAAGGCCTCGCTCAGCAAAATACCAAGCAAAGCATGTGAACCAAAAAACAACATGCACAACTCCCCACAAAATGAACCAACCTGGTGTCGTGTTGATCAGCGCTCCTTCTGCTTCATGCGTCGCTCTCGCGCCAGCTTCGTGACCTCGGGTGGGCCCAGAAGTGCATGTTGCGTTGGGGCATGATGGCTGGGGTCGCTGGGTGGCCAGTGATTCTGTCAAATCTTGATTGAAAAGCAGAACATCTTTGTGAAATGCACACGTCCCTACGATTATGTGCGGCATGGCCTTGTCTGAGATTTCTTCCTCCGGGCTCTAGGCTGAACCCTCTGTGATCCAATGGCACAATCGTGGCACCTTCACTCAGCAACTGCCTGATGTCGGCCCTCAAAGCTGTGGCTTTGCACACGAGCTTGTGCTGTGCGTGTTCTTGTCGCAGCTGATGAACCTGTTCTTCCAGATCTTTGGACCAGCTGCGCGCTCCCCGCAATTTTGACTGCAAGCGCTTGATCTCTTTGGCTCTCAGCGCTCCCTGATTGTCCAGCCGCCGATAGCGACTTTGATGACCTGACAACTTGGATAAGGCCTCGCGGACGTCCAGGTGGTTGAGGGCCGACAGCGCGAGTGCTAGGTGGCCTTGATCTTTCTTAACATGAAGCCCGTGGTATAGTAAGTATTCAAGCGTCGCTTTTGAAGTGTGAGAGTCACTGCACATAAGGCGAAAGAAGTTTCCATACTTACGGAGATTCCAAACCAGACCTTCTTCATGGAGAAATTCAAGCAAGCATTCCAAAGCATACGGGTTGACTTGCTCAATGACCAAACTCAGTCTGCAGCATTCCGCACAAACTTTGATGTAGCCATCAGCATCGAAGAATCCAGCAAAGTATGACCACGAGCAGTGAAATCTTGCAGGGACATGATCCCTGCGTTTCAACTTTCTCAACTCCTGCCCTACTTCATCTCGATGGGTCCTGTTGACAGGGCCTGCAATTGCCAGCTCTAACTGAGCCTGCTTCATAGACGGCACACTGCTTAGCCAACTGGCAGCTTGTCTCGCTGCTGCTCCAAATATCCGCCATTTCAGAACGGCTTTCTGGCAGCCTGTGGCACTTGCAGAACGATAGATGCCACCCCCGAGCAACAAACGATATTTCAACAAGACCTTAGCAGAATCTATATTTTGATCTACTTGAAGCGTAAATTGCCCACGGTCTAGTGAAACGCTGCCATCTCCATCAAAAAAGCCGGCCAAATACTCCAGCTCCTCCCATGCCGGTGGCGCTACAGGTGGAGCAACGGCAGGAAGCGGAAGAGTAAACGTCTCGCCGTTGACAGAGAACGTCTCCAGCCGTGGACAGCGGAGTCTCGACTGCAGCTGCTCCAGCCGGTCGCACAGCCTCTGCCAGCGATGCGGCCCAATGACCAGAAAGCGGCATTGATATCCGCCAGGAGGAAGTGCATTGGCAAAGGTGCGGAAAAGGATGGACATATTGAACGACTTGAACAGCTGGAAGGTGAGTGTCATAGAGCTGCAAGAAAGGAAGCCAAAAGAAAACTCAAACATAGTAAAGATGTCGGCAAACTCTGCACAGCAAGCCCGAGTCTTGTCTTCACATGCTAACCCGAACAAGGAGATAAAGTAAATGAACCCCCATTGGTTGTTGATCCCCTCATACTGAACTGATCACAAGATGCATGTCCTTCGCTTTGTATCTCTCTCTCTCTCTCTGTGCACCTCCCAAGCGGCGCTTTGAGGGACTCTAAGGCAAAGCAAACACAAGGCCAACAAGAGTGAACGGCCTGGAAGCCTTGAAACCAACAAATGATGGTAGCTATTAACAAGTAGAGGTGCGAGAGCCTTGGTTCCAGAAAGTTCTCCGTGTTGCACAAAGAAATCATGGTTCTCCTGTCCTCATTGTCATGATTGTTTGCCCATTGAACCTGAAGATGAACGTCATCATGGCACTCCGGCTTCCGCAAAACGGTGCCTTCTTGAGCGGTCGTTCCTTTTTGTTCGATGCAGCGCAAGTCACATGCACCCTGTGAGCCTCCCATGCACGGGACGGTAACTGTTCACGCTGATCCGCCACAAGTGACCACAGCCTCAAACTTCCAGGTGATTCTGACATCAGGAAGGAAATCCTCAAGGAGCTGTTTTTAGGAGGAATACCTCTCAAATTAATCAGATCTCACCTGCGGGCCTCTAAACGTTCAATCATTTTGTCCGTGCCATCTTCACAAGCACGTGTGCAAAAGTTATGTTGGAGCAACTTTGCGTGCAAAAGAACGCCGCAGCATCTTAGATGCAAACGCAGCGTTTCAACATATTTCAACATGTGGCAGTGGAGAAAGTAGACACTGTGCCGCCCCAACTAGTCTTGGTTAAGCAGTGAAGGTGCGTGCAGGACTCACCCAGTGGTCTTTCAAGCATTGAGGGAGCACTACATTCCATGTGCATCCAAACGCCCCCCCCCAAAAAAATACAACCAACATGCAAGGCAAAGCGGTCTCCTTGCAAACAACCCTCAACTCCAAACCAGCGACAATGATCTTTAGTTGGTTAGTTGGTTGGGGGTCGGATGATAAGTCCCGGTGCTGAAGCTGGAAAAAACATGCTGGATTCATGTCCAAGTCTGCTCCGGCACATTTTGTGTTTTTTGTGTTTAATTATACTGGTTCGTGCCATTTTCTGGTTTTTGTGTTTGCACATTTTCTGGTTTGCTTTGTGTTTGCACCAGTTCGTGCCATTGCCACATGCCTGAAATTAATTGATCTGTCCCGAAGGGGAGGAGGTGGACGTCTGCCGCCAGCACTGAAACAGCGCATCGCTTTGACCAATCTGTGACAATATCTTGATGGATATGGAAAGTGAACATCTGAGCCTTTGAATCCAATGACATTGCCCCATAGCGGCATTAATGTCCTTCTCTTGCGTTTCAACCCATGAATGATTGAACATCTTTGAGATAGACAGTGGGACTATGTGGGACTAAAATATTACCACATCTAGCACAATCTAAGTTACCACCTCTAGTATATAGCAACTCAATGCACCACATGATGGGCTCCAAGAACCTTCTTGCAGTTGCACCCGAACAAACAACTCCAGGCATTTCCAGACTGCTAGCCCCCAAAACCTGGCAATGGGGACTCAATGACTGAACCGCATTGAACAATATGTATATTCCAACACTGCATTAAACAGGAGTGACATGTGACATGGGTGTGAACCACTACACTGAATAATTATCATCCTAGGTCAGCATATCGTCGTAGCCTATTCTGTTCATGTAACTGGCTACACTCGGTTTGACAAGAACAGGCCATCACAAGTTACAAGTCCCCGTCTAGAAGAAATTCATTGCTTGTTTGCAACAAGGCACAACAAAACTAGAGTATATATAACCCACACAAACTTGGAGTAGTCAATGGACCCCAGTGGTTTTGTTGGGGTGGTCCTTATGATGCTTTTAAGGCCAAAATCCCACCGGACAACAGCGCGCGATATGCACCAGCCTCAATCCTGCAGCGGGACGCACTTCCGTGCCAGGGCGAGGACACAGCGCAGCACGCCGTTGCACACCCTTGAAAGAGGCCAGGCGTCGGGGTGCTCGGAATCTGTGGAAAAGTGACCGAGGCAGTTCATGTACCACCAAATAAATGTAGGAGTTTGATGCATTTTTTTCTGGATGTTGTGGTACAGCACCAGAATTCCAGGAAACAATGTAGCAGTTAAGTTTTTTAGATAAATTAGGCTTACTATTTGTCAATATGGTTTTCTCTCTGGGGGGGGTGGGGTAACTTCTAGATTCTAGCTATTGGTGGGCATCAAAAGTTCAACACATCAATAAACCTCTGTTGGTACCTTCTTCACTAGACACTCAGGACGCATGAACAGCTGATTGTTCTAGAGGGTTAAGCCAGCTCACTGGGAGGTTGGTGATGACTCACAGCTTGTCGTCAATGATGGTTGTCTTCCTGTGTTGTGCCGTTCTACACTTTTAACATGTCTCAAAAAAAGGTTACTTTTCGTGGGTGCTTTCATTCAGAAGGCCAATTCCACTTGACAATCCAATCTTCTCATCAGCACCACCCGTTTCTTCGGTTTTTTCCAAGAGGCGGTCGCACCACGGCAGGTGGCCACCACCCGAAGAAGGTGTATAACGCCTCCATCGACCGGGCAAACTCTGAGGCGATGAAGAACAAAAGGTCTGGGGTAGCTTCTGGGTACTGGGTCAGGTGCCGCGATGGTGACTCTTCGAAGCTTATAGGGCTTATAGGTAGGGGGGTCACTCAGCTCGATTGCTTCGAAGAACTGACAGTTCCACCTGAGCCCTCTACAGGTCCGGCCCTGATTCTTGCTTGGCAGGGGCCTCCTCCATGTTAGTTGGTGTAAGTTTGTTAATATAAATCCGCATGTTTCAACATGTTTTAGCTTTGAGCTTGTGAGATCTGGTGTGTGTATATAGTTGTCTTTTTCCGACCCATATCCAGTGTCACTGATCAATCTGAACCGCCACCCCCCCCACAGCTTCGGAACTCTCCCCCCGGCCCGGTGGGAGGCGTTTGTTTTTTTTATCCGCACCTCAGGACTGTTATACATCCCCAGCGAATCCACGGCCACGGCATCCAACTGAGCCACCTGGGCATCCAACGGTCAGTCGGTGTCTGGGTGGGAGCAATTGCCTCGAAGGAAACGGGAGATATAGACTTATAAGCAATATATGATATGGACACTGGGCTTAGTATAGCCAACTGATGAGCAAGGATCCTATGAAACCACAATGAACAAAATTATGTATATACATTGAACATCATCAGTTACAGTAGATGCTGCATGCAGGCTGTTCTGGTGTCTAAGCTGCCTCCTCAGCAGTGAGTTGCCATCCGAGCGCTCCTGCATTCTCTTGTGCCTGGACATGAGCGATCCACTGGTTTCTAGCATCTTCTGCTTCAAAATCCTGTGAGCTGCATGAATATGAAGTCAAGTACTAAGTACATGATTGTCCAAACCACCAAAACCATCCAAAACCGATCTCAAAGTGGTAGCATAACAGCAAAGTGAAAACAACAACAACCTCCGACTGATCGGGATTGCACGAAGTGGCACCGACACACTGACACCAGGCGCCACTGATCGGTGCTGTCCGCACCTGCTCCAGTGTTCGTGCACCAGGAATGGGCACAGTGCCTTTGCAAATGCACCAGTTCAAGGCCACCTGCCGGCGAAAGACTCCTTCGTCAAAACCCCAAGGAGGTCTTTGAGTCTTTTCTCCCACTGAAGTGGAGCAGGCGTATAAAGGTATAAAGACATGGCAGGTTTAATACTCCAGAACATCTCTGGGAACTGTTCTTGACATGTGGGGGTGTCACTTCATCACCCACTTCATCACTTCTCACCAGAAATCAATTCTGCAAAAGCAACCGAAGCGCGCCATAGAACCACTCAAGCAGCTTCGCTCCTACCTGCGCAGGAGTCTTCTGATACTTTGCTGCCAGAGTCTTCACCTGCTCCAAGCATGCCACGGTGTCGCTGTCCGTGATCTGCTCAGTGCAGGGCTTACCTCAGGCTGTGGGCAAAGGCAAATGCATTTACCCCATTTATGAGCCTAATTTATGATGGTAACATATGGTAAGCATTCCATACATGGATGGTCTGGGAATTGAATTCTGTCTGCGAGGTCTTCCGCACAGCCTCTCGAACACTACTTTCCAGTTTGTAAAGAACAACATGATGCAGCAACTATGAGAAGCTATTTGAATCTGGTGTTCAATGGCAGCCTCACAAGTCCGGCAAACATGTATCCTCACTTCCTAGAATTTCCTCAGAGCCTCATTATCCTCATGTTGTGCCAAGCAAAATCGCTGCCAGGGGGGCTAGTCAAGCGGCCACTGGCCAATGGCGCCCAGGCCAACACCGTCACACCCAACTCCTGCAGCCAGCGTGCATCAGCGCACGCACCGCGCCGCAACAGCATCTCATCTCTGAGGAAAATGTCCAAACTTGCAGCTCACCCCGACCACCGGTCAATTGCTTGATTTCCCGTTGATTTTTTTGCATCTGATTCCCAGAATGGATCGGCCTCCATCGAGGTATGGTCTGCTGTGGTCACCACTAGAGTTCTGGGCCTCCTTGCATTTGGGAGTATCATCTTCCACTCCCGTTCCTCCCAAACCCTTTGGCAGCTATACCCCCGGCACCTTGCAAACCTTCAGCAGGCCGCTGGTCTCGGGCATCCGTCGAAGCAGGGAGAACTCGATCTCGTTGAAGATCAGCGGCACGCCACGGTCCTTCCTCAGGGCAGGGGTGACTATAGCGGCGGCTGGAACAAGAACAACAATGAAACAACATGTATGGGCACCAAGGGGGGCAGGCCTTTCTCAACAGTTCCTAAAGCCGCAAATCTGAGATGACGTGCCATCAAGCTTGAATCCTGCGCATCTCACATCAATCGCAAGTGCTCCGTAGAAACGCAATATTCCCAACGAACCCACCCCCAAATAGCTTATCGAATCCCCAAGCACCCCAGTCATAGGGGACCATGAGTGCAGCTCAACTGCAGCCGCGCATCAGAAGCCCATGCATCTGCCGCAACGCGGCCTCGTCGTAGTTGGAGACCCCGACATTGCGCACCAGCCCTTGGAGAAGAAAAGATCAGACACCCAGGAACATCATGTGGGCGAGTTTAGTTACTAGTAATACAGTATCTCTCTCCATCGCCCTCGTTTTGGCATCTGCTTTCCAAGTTGTCTGCAAGTTTATTGAATTGCTTTCAATATACAGTATAGCACATGTAGCAATTTCTGACCGTGTTAAGATCTCAGCAAGTGCCCCTACTACGGTTTCATTCGGAAGAAGCCCTGGTCTTAGCCCAAGGGACAACAACATGTCTTGCAAAAATCAACAGCTTTTGGGTTCCTCACACTGCCTACTCCCAACAAGCAGAACCCTGAAAACGGAAAGGGCAGCTTACAAAAAATATTCTGTTTGGCCTTGGGTGGATATCAAACATCACCTGCTTTCATCCACCATCACCGACTGAGCAAGTACCTCATCTCCGTTTGGTCCCTGCCTCGCTGGTATGCCACGGCGAGTTGATCGGCAACTGCTTCGGGGCTTCCTGGTGAGGCACTCACAGGTGACGGTTGCATGCTGCCATGTGCGCTTGGGCGCTGAGTGTGTCAAGAGAAAACCTAGGAGGGACTGTGGAAGGGGATGAAAAGAACAACATGTCAAGTCTGATGTGCACCTGAACGCCCACAGCGTTTGCAGGATTTGTGAGGCATTGCAATGCTGTCAGGAAAATAAGTATGAATTGCAACACCTACGAATCGCCCACGAATCATGACAAAGAGACTCTTGTCTGAAGGCAGCTGATCCTTTGGAAGGCCCAAGCCTTTGGATCCCACACAAAGGCTACATAAATCACAACTGATATCAATCCCACCGCCACATCGACCCAGCACATGATAGATTCTGATAGATCATGATATCTGATAGCTCCTGACACTTCAATCAGGATCTACACCAAGATGCCTTTGGGGAAATGGATGAGGAATCCATCCAGTGCGTCCACTTTGCACTTCTCAATGGACCGCTGCCTCAGTCGAAGCACCGTCCGAAGACAACGCCACGGTGCCGGCTTCAGTGCCCAGTCAACTCACGACGCGAAGGCCTCTGGTTTGAAGCGTAATCTCTTTGAATCAATGCATGTAGTTCCAAGTAGATGGTTCATGCACTCCAAACAGACTAAGCAACTCACAGCTTCCCATCATCACTATCCGTCCAACCTCCAAACCAAACAGTCATCTCCGCGCCTGAAATCTGAACATGCCCCATATTGTGTTCACGGTAGACCCAACAAAAAGGAGGAGGTCACCTCCTCGAAGTCTCCCAACTAACCCATCAAGCAACAAAAAAATCCATTCCAAGCCTCCCAGCTGGCTATGACGGCTGTGAGTGGTTCGATTCTCTTTTTCCCTCTTCACCTGCACCTGCATTCACCCTGCACCTGCGAAAACTCCACCAGTTGTCCACCTGCACCGCACCTGCCCTCAAGAAAACATCCGTTCTTCCAACAGGTTGCAGGGTCGGCACCAGGTCAGTGGTGCGGTTCGACAACGCGTCGAACTTGCTGATGACCAACGCCTCCCCATTTGTGGGGGGCGTCATGGGGCGTCCCATTTGGCACGGGCACGGTGGAGATCCGAGCTGATTGTCTAATGGCTCCAACAGGCACTTATGTAGGGTTGCGACCCCACAAATACAGTAAAAAGGAATTACACTCAAACGACTCACCACCAAACTAAGAATTCATTCAAAGCAACTTAATGGCAACTGATTGAAATGGGCAAACGCTTCTTGTTGGCTTCATGGCTTCTTCTTGCTGGCAACTTATGGCAAAGCTTCGCCCAGAACTTGGCCCAGTATTTCTTCCCACTGAACTCCCCCGGCAGCGTGATTTCCACCTTCGATCCGCTTGGCGAGCTGGTGCGCAGCTGACCTGGAGATGGGGGTCCACGTGGTCAATCCATTTGACATGACCAACAAAGAACCTGCAGGTCACAGGGTTATCCGTTTTGTTCACTGTTTTTTCTTTGGAAAGCCATATCAATCTAAAACTTGATAAATTCCTAATTAGTAGTGCCTCATTAGTGCCTCAGTGGCTAGCAGGACGTGTCACAAACTGTTTGCATACTAATATAGAGGCCGTAGAAGTATAAGGTAATATTGAGGTATAATGACATGCACCTACAACAAGATGTACTGTGCCAGTTTCGAGTTCATCATGAAACGACGCACATGGCTTGGAGGCAACTCTGGCACCCTCTGAAAAAAAACAACAGCAAACTGACGTGGCGAACACTTGTGAAGACCCAAACGCTTTTGGCAACACTCTCTAGTCAACGCGTCCTTTTTTTCCCAACTCTAATACCTTCCAACACACTCCAGCCACTGCAAACGCCCAACTCTTCCCACCCAGTCCTATGCAATCCTCCGAAGTGTAGTAGATCTGGGCCGTGTTCAACAAGGTCACACCTGGGCGCTTCACTTCGTGCAACTTGCTGGCGGCTGGAACCGCCAAGGTGGGTGACTGGGTTGCTGGCACTCTGCCCATTTTTTTTAATCAGCAAATTTCAGGCAACAATATGGCAATCCCCTGAGTTGCTGGCTGTGCCAAAACTCACGGCTTCCATTAGACATGCTGAATGCTCTTCATTAAACCCTAACACCCACCCGCAAATGTTCAGGGACTCACTGCCTGCAGGGTGACTCCAGCCCAAACTTCGAGCAAGCACGTCCTCCCAACCCATGGACCAAGCGAACATCTTCTGGCCTGATGACAAGGATGTCTCGAAGGCTGCTCGGATGTTGCTTTCATTGTACCTGAGGGCGCTGTTGTTTTAGCGACCTCCAAAAATCTCAACAAGCGGAGGATTCCATGCATCCTATACATTTAAGCAATAGAACAAACAAAAACCTAATCTGAATATGGCTCAAATTAACTACCAACACATCTTTCTCCAAAGAAGTCAAGGCCACTTATACATCCTTTCTTTAATTAGTCTCAATATATGTTTCTGGAACATACTTTCTAGCCCTCCTCGCATCCCTCCCCATCATACCTCCAGTCCTCACCCTCGCTGCGTTGCCGCCGAGTGGCTTCAGTGGGTCGGTACCCCACTTGTTGGTCCCGAGGCCCAGGGGCTGAAAGGTCAAGGTGCCGCAGGTGATCGACGTCGCCATTTGGGAGGACGTCCGTATTTCTCGTCTTTCTTTACAGGGAGCCGAGCGGAACTGCGCGTATCGGGAGCAAGCCGAAGTGGCGGCCGGCAGGTCGATTGATTTGGTAGAGAAGTTGCGGCAGCAAAGAGTGGTCAGCAAATGACGAGACTAATTAGTGGTGACTGGATGTGAACTGGTCATCATGAGGATCAACATGTGGCGCATGGAGCTGATTTGGGCCATGGGTGGAATATGGTGGAATGGTCCAGGTTTGCCTATTAATTCGGGGAATTCATTTCGCACTCCACCAAAAGGCACACACGGTTCACAGCCAAAGGCCCCCCAACTGCAAGTGCAAGCAAATCAAAGGGAACCTCTACCTGGACCCCCAGTCGGGGTGGTTGATGGACACCCTCTTGACCTCTTTTCGGGGCTATAAATGGACTCTCTCCGTGGTGCTGGTATGTTTTCCGTGCATCTACGGATTCATGGAGCATGATGGGGCATCCGTTTGGAAGCGACCACCTACAGTATGAAAAAGTCGTCTGCCAAACTTGGCCAAATTGCTCAGGCATGTCTTTGGTGAACTCCATGGTGCTTCGACTCCACTTCCGTAGCCGTTACCTACTGCAACTGGTCCACTGGTCCACATGTGTTCACCGTCCTCGTGGCAAATGATATATCACCACATGCACCTACCTCCATGCAGTCTACTTTGAGGGTCTTCCCCACTGTGGTGGTGTTCCAAAATCAAAACCACCGCAGCCCGGTGGCTCTTCTCAAGCATGTCGCTGGCTGGCTGGAAAACGCATTGCATCTGGGTGTCCCGGACGTCGATTTCTCCCAGCATCTCTTTGGTAACGTGGCCGCCACCCAAGTGGGAACCCTTCTCATGCTTGCCCTGGTGGCGGAGCTACTTCTGCGGGGAGAAGTGTTTCTTCAATATTGAGGACAAGTAGGTGACAGTAGGTGAGTTAGGTTCTGAGGTTCTTTTGGGGAAGGGAGAGGACAAGGAGATGAAAGGTCAAACATGGAATATGTTTTTGTTGAACGTTCTTCTGGTCCCTCCTAAAGGCACTAGCCGCCAACAAATATCGGGTTGCAAAAGTCTTCTTCTGCTGCCAGTTCTTTGTGGCGTGTCTCCATGTATCGAAAATGGTTGGGGACGCACCCACATAGTCGTTCTTTTGATTTGCTTGTCCGGCATCGAAGCGCCACAACAGCTCGCCTGCCCTTGGCCGTCCATAATGCACGCATGTCGCAGGGTGTTCAGCGAGTGCTCCGTGTCCTGCAAGAGGACGTGGAGACGGTGAGTCGGGGTGGTCCTGTCCCTTCCCTGCTTGTTTGCACACTGAAGCGCACAAAAGCTAAACAGCCAATGTTCAATACATGAAACAATATAAGTTATTGAAGTACGTCCTCTTCTAAGCCATACAGCAACTCACCCTCCTTTCACCATGGAACAAGATTCTCATGACTCTCTCCAAAAATCCTGCTGGTTCCTTCTGCCTCTGCTGGGTGAGCCAAGCAAAGCACCTTCCAACTCTGCTCCAGTCTCGGGTGGTTCCCCCCCCGCATCGCTGCGCCGCTCGAACGCTCTCTCCTTGCTACTGGGTGAGACGGTCGCCACCACGACGGTCTCATGATGTCCGCCTGGTGTGTGTGATTGTCGTGGGCGCGCTTCCGCGCTCCGTGCTGCGCGATTGAAGGAATGGCTCGCTTACAAAGAAGGACATGGGAGATAATGAAGGGGTCACTCTGACTCAAGAAGAACAAGATCAGGAAGAAGAGACACTATAGAAGAGACATATATCTGAAAACCGTTTCTGTTTAAAAGGAAAACCACATAGTTGCAAGATGCTGCAAGTACGACTTATACACATCCTTGGGAAACTCAAGCAGTCGACATCGAGTCGAGTAACTGCTTTCCCGGCAGGGCCAGCATATGTTTCCTCGAAGATGACCCAGCATACAAATATTATGCAATAGAAGAGCCCTTACTACACCCGGGTGCCAGCAGGGCGCTGGCATTAGGCAGGAGGTGGTTCAGCCTGACTCTCACCTCACAGCCCCAAACCTGGCCAGCATCAGCAAAACCCCTTTTTCCTGCGCATGCCCCAAAAACTCTGGTGAAACTGGAGCTGGGCTGCACACGTGCCAGCAGCTTTGGAGAGCGCACTCTGAGAGTGCTCTCAAGTCAGCATGGCTATACTCACAGACTGCATGGTTGGGCTTAGTGCCTCCTTCGGAGCCGCAAAACGACGTCTTGCGGCTTGCGGCTTGCGGCTTGCATCTGCAGGCTTCCAAAACCTCCAGGCACAATGCAGCGGCCAGGCGTGCTCTAACTTGGTCAGAGACATGCAAATATGGCTTGGACAGGTGCCACAGAACTGCTCTCCCAGCCCCTCCGAGTGTTGAGTTCTGCCCTTAAACACTTGTGGAGGCAAAACAGGTGAGTCTGGGTACCATCATTCTGATTGGGTCTAGCTTGGTGGCCTTTTGCGCGCTTAATCTTAAACCTCAACAGGTTGAAGGGCCAACTAAATATACACCAAATAGACCTGCCATGGGCATGGCGAGCCATGCTTAAATCCGCCCAAATGGACCTAATAAACGGGTCCCCTTGCGGTACAGGTTCATCCTCCACGACCCTGTTCCACTCTCCATCTGGCCAACGGTTCTGTATGGTTCCTGGTGCACTTCGTACAACTTAGTGTGTGAGTGATTGCTCCTCACCAGCCAACAGTCTCATGTTCTGCCATGTTCCCGGAACTCATCTTGCTATGTCTCCTATAGGGCCCCGAAGAAATGAAACTCGACTCAGGAAGGGCTGGTCCGAGAGTGCTGTTCCTGCTACGATGAGACCATCACTCAGGCAAATACCTGAAGATGGTCAGCTCGTACTCATCCGCCGCCAACTGTTTGGCCTCCCAGCAAATGGGAGTTCCAAATTTAAAAGAACGATGGAACATGATGGAGCGAATGTGGCCTAGCACACCACCTTGTTGTTGTCTGCTTCTGTGATTTACACAAGGGGAAGACGCAAGGTGAGAAGTGCTGGACTGACATGTTTGACTGACATGTTTTCCAGGAGCACAAGAGAGCCCATAGGGGCAAAGGCCAACGCAGGGCGACATGTTGAAATGCATCCCCTTTGATGAAACAGCCTATTGACAGAACGACCTCCCAACTAGAGACAAGGGATGGATGCGATCGACACAACGACCTTTCAACAATCAACACTCCCCATGCAGAAGGAAAGATTTGATTATAGTGAGTGCTTCATATTATGCAGAAGGAAAGGTTTGGTACGATGGTCGATGTTGTTCGATGGTCTTTGGGAATTCGAGCGCCGCCCCCCCGCTCCATCGAAGGAAGTGAAGTCTTGCCAGGAGACGAGCTGTTGGGATGAGAGCTGTTCTCCATTGATCGCCACGATCCTGGGCGCTCAAGGGAGGCGACTGAAAAGGGATGAGAGTTAGTTGCCGTATAAGCCAAAGGATGGAATGCCAAGGGAAGGCTTAAGGATGATAGGCATTGTCCAAGGCGAAAGGATTGAGTTCCTTAGTCAGCTAGGAAATGCTATGACCTTTGGAACTCGTCCTTTCAAAAGACTCAAATACTGATAGCCGCGGATCCACACAATTTTTGAGAGCGCAGTCATTGGCTTTAGCTCCAGCCTCCAGCCCGACAATTTTTAAACCTTCAAGAAGCATCCAACAAGTACCTGCAACATCCAGCAACCTGGCAACCTATAATGTGTAGACTCTTGGATCAATAAATCTTCCACCAATACTAAAAGCTTTCCAAATTGGGATAGGTTTACTAATCAAATCCAAAGTCGAGTCTACATTCAAGTGGTGCTATGTGATGATTGGCTTCTTTAGGCCTTTTGACATCTTTTGACCCAACCGGCCACGGCTCCGATCCCCGGGCGCGATGTAGTCCACATCCTGCGCCTCGTTCAGTTTCCTGGGCCGAACGGGATACCACTTACTATTTGACTTTTAGACTAATAGAGGTTTCCTGTCTTGCATTAGTGAAGAAGACAAATAGCAGTGTGTCGTGCATTTACTTTTTGTACAAGAGTCATTATTTGACTTTTACAGGTTTCCGGTCTTGTTTTAGTGAGGAAAAACTGGAAATTTCCCTGACTGGAACCAAGCCTTGCGTGCAAACCTTACCTCCCTCAAACCTCAGGCTCCTGTGTTGGTTGATTCCCTGAAGAATTGCCAAGCAGCAGGATGGATCCATTGGCATCCACACCTGGAAGTGAGCGAACCCTTCAACATGCAGAGCACCATTGGGCTCCAAAAGAATTCTGTGAAACATTCTTGGCATATCATGGCATCATGGAGGTTCCCTCCAACTCATACGGCAATGCCACATGAAGGCAACGCCGCAGCAAAGGCCACAGCCGTCACGAAGCTGTCACTTGTTGTCTCGTCAAATGGCATTGATCAAACTCTACACAAGACCCCTCCAACACCAACGACACTCTTGGAATTTGCAAGTGAATCTGCTATATGTCCATTCCACTTGGCCCTGTAGTCACTAGATAGTCACTAGTGAATAGCTATGAACTGCATACCACCCCACCCAGCCCAGTCGATTTGCTCGCAAAACTCACGCGCCCGGCCTCGGACCAGAAGTCCTAGGTGGCTCTTGGAAGCGGCCACCGCCAGGCCCAGCTTGGAGCCGTTCCGCTTCACCCGCAACTGGATCACCTCAACGGAGATCGCCGGTTTGGAGGAGGGCAGGGATGTTGGGGCTGGTCGACTGGGAGTGAAGATAGTGAAGTGGAAAGAGATCATATGGTGTTTTTGGCCACGATTTACTCGTAGCTTGCTCCTGTTCCAAGACACTGTGTCTCTCTTCAACATGTCAACGCCACAAACACACAAGCGCGTACACGTGGTCCGTTTGCTCTTGGCTGCCAAGGTACGGTGGGACGTTCCAGGGTGAGCTCCGCCTCAGCGTTTCCAGGAACAGCGCGAGAGACCAGCGACTCTCGTGTGGACCCGCATGGATTGCTTGGTGCCTTTGCTCAGAATTCGATGCACAAGCCCCTTGCGACGATTGTGCTGTTTTTCCAAACAGCACTCTTGGCTCAAAATCCCAAGTGGTGAATAACAAGGGACTGGCAAAAAAAAGGCTTGGGGATTTGAACCAAGAGTTCTGAGGATGTGTTTTTTTGCGATCGCAAGATTTGGATAAAAACCCGCTGAGTGTGTCCAGGGCCTGAAACCAGCTGACCTATTGCAGGAAGCGTGCAACGTGTCATCTCCAAGGCAAATCACCCACGCGCATGGAAAACCTTCAAACATGCATGCCACCACGTCTTAACCACACTAAATACTGGTAGCTCCACTCAATGCAGTACGTGATTTTGTGATTTTTTGTTTCTCCTCTGCCAGAGCATTAACCTTGATCCCCTCATACAGTAGGTGATCCGCAGCTATATTATATAATTACGAGTACCAACCTGTTCCACCAACCACTAGCCCCCAGCAATGGTGAACAAAAAACCACCAACAACATCCAACCACCTGTAGCCAGCACCTGCGCCGCAAGGTCCCACGTATACCCGTCTAAACGGTCCACTTCCCCCCCGCCGCCTCCGCCCACGGCCCGTGCCCGCCGCGGGCGCGGGCGCCGAGCAGCCGAAGCTTGGGACTCGGAGACCATGGCGATCAACTCCTTGGAAGTGGAGCCCTTTCCCTCGCCGTTCACCAGGCGCAGGCAGTCGTACCTCCCGGGCCGAAGGGCGGAACGGTGGGCGGCATGGGGGGAGCGAATGAGAAACAGGTGGGGGTCATTCATTTGGTTCCCAAACATGATTGACGTATAGACTTTGACTTTGCCGCTGTTCGTGGTCTGAGACCGCCAGCCTTTGATTGACGTATAGAATGCTATATGATACGCCTTGGTCCTCTTCTGGCAGTTTTCATGCTGTTCGGGGGTCCAAGTCTCAGCTTCAAGTCTCGCTCTGGGGGCCTGAACACCCTATCAGTCGCATCATGTCGCATCTAACGAGCAAAGAGTATGGCAGCTTGCCTTGCTCCTAAGGGTCTTTGAGCCCCAACAAGAAGCAGAACCGTTTGTGCAGCTGGGGGAAACCATGAGTGATGATCGTTTGAGGACCCTAGCTTAAACTCTCGTACCCAATGCGAGACAGCAACATGGATTGATTTCAGCTCTGATGGGATGTGTCATCCGGAAACGCTTTGGGAGACTAGTCACTTTGAATGGCTGGGCTGGGTTGCCAAAACAAGATGGGAAGCATATTGCTCAATGAACAGTGATACATAATGTGATGTCTCTCTTCAAGATTGAAATGAAGATTTCTGACTGATGACGATCCAAACCCAAACTACATACTCAAAGAAGAGCTCCGAACCATCAGAGATGTCTAAAAAAACAAAGCCTTTACTCGGTTGATCTCGATTACCATCACTGAATCAACCACAATTCTTTGCAGCTGTCTTTGCCCCACCAAACGCCCCAGCCGCTACGCCCCCCACCCCGAAGCTTTGGCCAAAGCACCGCCGTATGCGCTCCTTGGGGGAGCGAGAAGCGTTCCACTCAGCTGCTTGCCTCAGCACGTGTGGCTTAAAGAGAAGGTCTGTACTTGAACGGTGACCTCACAAAAAGCAACCAAAAAAAAGGTGAAGTTGAAACAAGTAAACCAGTATGCCAGTAAGTTTAGAATTTGCGTCTCAGAACATTTAGGAAGAACACAGCATCCGAACAAGCCCTAGGGCCCTATGTATGATATTCTATGATGGCCAGCTTTGGAATCGGTGTGGGGCCATCCAGGATGACCTGGACGATAAAATGATCCTATGATCCTATGACCTCAAACCTGGCAAGTTGGACTCCTTGTGACAAACGCAACCACTAACTAACCAAAGGGATCACATTGAGTACCATATTATGATAACTTGCCGAGTCACCGAAAGCCAACACAAATTCGCACCAAACACTTCCGAAATACAAGCAATCGGCTATTGCCCAAGCTTGCTTTAGCTATTTCCTCTTCCATTCTTCCCAATCCTTTCCCTTCCCCACTTCAAAAAAATGGTTCGCATATGTTCCCATGCATCCCACCCTCCAGCTCCACTCCTTTGGGCACTTGGAACTCCAAGGTGCCCCTCCTTCTTCACCATCGAGACCAAGCAGTTTTGATGGTCCAACACCTCGAAGTCTACGCCGATCTGCTGCGACTTGCTGCTGTCCTCGGGTCGCACAAGGAGACCAACATACATGGCTTTTCTGGCTAGACGCAGCACAAGCAAGTCCAGCAAGTTGAGTTGGAATGCCTTGCCAACTAGCTTAGGAATTTGAGAGCCACTGAGAAATCACGATCAAACTAAGAACTCAGTTTCCTTCGCAATATGTGCACAGGCACACATCCATATGACCGTGTTGCCCTCCTACCGTTTCTGTGAGAAACTCAAGCCAGGTACATGCGGGCTTTGAATTCAGTACACAGTAGCTACCGTGACCGGACCAGCCGTATTTGTGAAGGAGTCAACCTTACCACTGTAAAGTCGCGCCCTCCAAAGTCTTATATAGGCTTTGCAGGCACCATGTGAAGCCCGGTTGACTTGCATTCAAGAGGCAACGTGTGCCGTGTACCTCACACCTGTGCGTCAAAACGGTCAATCCCACCATGCCCCAGGTGTTGTTCACGTTGCTGCTGACGAATTTCACAAGGCATGAGGTGCATTGAACATATGAACACTATAAGCACTCATCACCTGTCTACTGTTCCTCTTGGCCCAAAACTAGTCAACAGCGAGTGCCATGGGCTGTCTCGTGAGCTGCTCCTGAGACTGGAAGGCTGATTCTGCACAAGAGTATCTCTAGATAGGTGACCGTGTGTGGCTGAGCAAATCTTATAACATATAACGAAATGCTTTCCCAAACCTGCTGTTGTGGCTGGCATGCTTTGTTCAAAAGACCAACTGCCCTCTCCTTTAGAAACATGTCATGCGCAATTGCTCTTGACCCTGCCTATGCTGGAGGTGGAGCCACTGATCTGCATCTCCTTGGCACAGGGGTGCAACTGCAATTCAATCTGGGAGTCCTTCTTTCGAAGTGTCGGACCCCTCCCTGCAAACAACAAAACCTTGCAACCATCCCGGATAAAGGAGAATGATCATGCTTCTTAGGAAAAGGGATCTTCATCTCTGGCGCTCGACTTTCTCATGAGTTTTGGGCAGTTCATGTCTATAGCCAACAATGCTCAAGTCTACTCGAATATTCTTCCAGATCCATGGCCCATCCCTGGGCTGCTGACAGGTGGAGAGGGCAATGGCTCCGGTACCTGGTCATGTTGAATCGCTGTTGAATCCTCTCTTCCCCACCAGAGCCATGGGTCCATTCCATGCAAAAGTAATTGATATGATGTCCTGGACCCCGCAAACCGACGTCGTTTTAAGGAAGCAAGTTTCAGGCGAAGCTCAAGAAAGAAACACGACAAACAATTTCGGTGTCGATGTTTCTTACTTCTGCATCATTTCGGTGTCGTGCTTTCTATCGCGAATTTGCTGCATCTTTCTGCACCATGTTTTCTGGAGAGATGGACTATACAGTATAGACCTTCCCAGAAACTATACAACACAGAAACTTGTAGGCCACACCTTGGTTGTTGAACATCACCTTCCATACACCAAAATGTGCAAAAACCAGGGGGTAACCGTACGAACATGCGCCAAAACCAGGGGGTAACCATACGGAAAACCAACCTGAAAAATCGAGCCTTGTTGGCAACACTAGGTGCAGCATGGTGCGGCAAATGGGAACACTGAGAAAATGTCCATGCATAAAGCTGCATAAACCCATTGCCTGTAACATTTGCTTGGTTCATGCTCCAAGTCTATCGCTTTCACTTGGGTTGGCTGTGGCTCAGCTGTTAATCAACCCATCGGAGCATTGAAAACCCCACCACCCCCCGGAATGCCGCACCGGCTCTGATGCGGCGCCAAACCAGGAGGTGGCAGCAGGCTCTTGCAACTCGTCCTGGCGAAACGGGTTGGGCAAAGCAATGACGTGCCTTGGGGGCCCGGTGCAATTGTCCTTCGTGTGGTGGCTCGAGCGGCAATTTTCCAGGCTGTTTCCTGAAAGTCTTGTTGGGCGTGTTGGGCCTCTTTGAGTACATAGGAGAGACGCATTTTTCAAGAAGTCCACCTGAAATTGTCAAGTGCTACACTAGCACGGCAAACTCCGTGCTCTTCCAATTCTATATAGCCTACATATCACAACAGAGTTCTCGCTCTCAGTTCCAGAAATTGCCCAGGAAGTCCGATCACAACGGATTCTCAACATAATCTATCCAGGAGCTTGTGCTAGAGGCTCCTTCCTTGTGCATGCGTCGGATTGAGGCAATGCAGGAACGAAGCTTCTGAATCCGGCTTTGAGAGTTCAGAATCGCATGTTCAAGCTTGGCAGCTTCCACCTCCCCTCGGAGCTTCTCCGTTGCAGCCATTTGGTGCAGTTGCCTCTGAGCACGCCGGTGACTGCGAGCTAGGCTACTTATTCGTCTGGCTCTTCTACAGCCATTCTCGTCCAGCTTCTGGAAATAAGCCTGGTTGCCTTTTACCAGCCCTACGTTTTTGCGCAAGCCGGCATGAGAAAGCTGTTGAGCCATCAGCACATGCAAAGCCGTGGGACGCTTGACCAGCAATCCATTCGTCAGAAGGTGCTGTAGGAATGGCATGACAGTCCCTGCGCAGCCCATGACAAGGCTGTACTTTGACAAGTTTCGAGTGTAGATAGCCACTTTGGCAGTAGGCATTTCCCTGATAATGAAGCTGCGTATTGCCTTCAGGATTTCCGGATTTTTCTGCGCCAGCTCCACAACCACCTGCCTGTCTTTGGCTGAGACTTTGATACAGCCCTCCGCATCAAAGAATCCAGTGACATAGGACCAACACACTGGAGCATCTGCCTCAATGTTTGGTCGCATTTGCTTCAACTGCTTGAGTCTCTGGGAATTTGGCCATGTGGTAGCAATGCGGAGCTGGTCCCTTTTGACCAAACATCCGTTATTGAGCAATGTCGATGCAGCACCTCTCGCCAAATCACCATACACCTGCCATTGCAAAGCCGGGCGGCAACTACCAAGCCCAGCGCTGCTCAAACCAATGGCGCCTCCAAATTTCACAAGAAAATGCAATAGAACCGTGCTATTAGCTGCACATTGCTTCACTGACAATCGCAGGCTAGAAGGCTTCAACCCAGCAAAAACGCATCCATCTCCATCAAAGAACCCTGCCAAATATGCCATATCAAGTTTGCCAAGCTGTGCTAGACAACAATTCACGTTTGTGCCTGATATTGGAAGCTCAAAGTGCTGACCAGCGATGTCGAGGTGCGTCAACCGCGGCCACTTCTGAGAGCTCAAGTGCTTCGTGAGGCGTTGGATGATCACCGTCAGCTTCAGCTGATAGCTCTCATGATCAACCTGCGAAGACCTACTCCATGCCGCAATCGTTGGTGGAAGAAGCAAGGGAGGAAGTAACGACTCTGAACAGCATCGAACGGATCGACAGTGGTGCCGGAGTGGGACCAAGGTCCCACGCAGTGACGGTGCAAACATGGGATTCTGGTGGGCGCCAAGATTGCTGGCTTGGGCAAAAACATGCGCAACTCTGTGCAGGTCGGCTTTCAACACACAAAACAGGTCAAATAAAGCGCATGAAGATCAAAACACCCGGCTAGCCCTGCAAGCCAAGCCACTCAAATACAAGTTGACTTGGTGTCTTGAATGCCCACGTGCTGACTGTCTCCGGTGTTGGTCCTCCTCGGGCAACGGCATGGGCTCCGCCGTGGGCTTCCTCAGGTGATGCTAGGTCAATGGGGGCCGAGATCGAGCTTGCTGGAAGCCAATCCGGGGTGATAGAAGAAACATCTCTGTGTGTGGCAAATTCTGGGCCGAGGTGTTGGTTGGTCAGGGACATCGGTCGGTTTGTGTCTGGTTGTCAGAAAGAGGAGCTGACAAGTTCTGCATGTGAACTTGCCAGTCTGGCATCTTGTAAGGCCGTCAACCACCGGAGCATCCCCCCCTGCTTCATAAATCCTTTTCGGGGCTCTTGGGGAGAGGGTTCGTACAGGACCCCTGCGATTTATTTTCCCTTTGATGCTTCCTCCTTAAATTCTCTTGCACATCCCGCACCACCTCCACATCCCACCACATCCCTCCATTGCCTCGACCGCTCCCACCTAGGCCCTCCAAGGCACTGCATCTGAGGCAAACCCTTCAGCGAGGGACTCACGGCGTCATCCGCCGCGTCTCGCTGGTCGCTGCTGCAGCAGGCCGCCAGGCTCCTCGGGGAGGGAGGGAGGGGGACGTGGGGCCGGGCGCGGGGGACGCGGATTCCAACGCAGATCCACAAAAAAAGTGGTGGGAAGCATGTCAGCATGTGTGTGTCCACAAGTATCTGAAGGGACAAGTTCCTCAACCTTCCACTGGACCGACAAAGGCTAAAGGGCTCAAATTGGCAACGAGGTGTTAAACGTGATTGTCCTGGTGCGGCAAAAATACTGGCCCCAGGCTCACCCTTCCCAACGCCTCCCCAACCAAAATTAACACCCCATATATCCCTCTATAGAGTACTTTGTCACGCCAAGCGTCGACGACCAGCTCGAGGCACAACATTTGGACCAGTCCATCGCAGCGGACGGCGGTTTGGCACGGAAGTGCTGGGGTCCCTGACTTCAAAACATCCCCGATAAGGGTTTTCAAGGAGCTGTGTGTGGATTATGCACTCTTGTGCTCTGCTTTCTTTAGATTAAAGCAACTTCTTTGCGTGCATGTATTTTTTTCCGAGGAACTTAGTGTGGCATGGTTGCTTGTTGTGGTGCAA